CGTTTCACCTGCCATGGACAAGGAAGTCTGGAGGAGGCTCTGAGAGGCTGATGAGGAAGCCACCGCCAGGGCCAGCTGTGTGTGGAGAGAGGGGGACAAAGGGAGACGATGCCAGCAACACCGGGAACAATCAGGGCCACATCTCTGCTGCAGAGTCCACGCCGAAGGCCGCCAGCAACACGAACCAGCCCAGCAGGCTTGACCTGAATACGTGCCACACGGAACTGGGGCACAAACGGTGTGAACCCCACTGGGGGCCTGCTCCCTGTCTGCAGCTGCTTCCCAGCCTGGGCTCTTGTGACCCGGATGACGGCCAGTGTGCCCACGCCTGCCAGCCTGAAGCCACGGAATGGGCCACCCCCAGCCCTGCCCCCAAAGTACCACCAGCCACATCCCGACCCTCCAGTGAGGGTCTGTGGGGGCAGCTGTGCCAAGGGCACCACCACTATAGGCGAGGACCCAGGGGATCGATGTCCTCACAGCAAAGCATGGCGTCACCTCATGGCCACTTCTGGTTTCGTCTCCAGTCCAGCACCTCGGACTTTCTACGATCAGAGTGAAGGGCACCCAGAGCCACAGAAAACAACCAAACTTTTAAGGAAATGAAACCTATCCATCAGAGAAGGCCACCCAAACAAAAAGGCAACAGCCACCAAGGTTTACTCATTTTTATTTTTTATAAAACAAGCTACAAATAGTCTCCATCCCTCCTTACAAAGGAAACCACACAACACAGCCTACACACACGTGAAGGGAAGATGCCTGGGGCAGAGTCTGAGTTTCCACAAGGAGGCGCCTTCTCTGTGCTGACATGTTCCTTCCAGGCCAGACAAGGGTCTCCTGGAAGGGCCACCAGTGCCGCTACACCGAGCTTTCTGGTCCAGGCCCCCTTGGATGGGGGAGGGCTCCCTCTCCTCCTTAACATGCTGGGATGGTGCTTCCAGTCACTCTGAGACAACCTCTGGGACTTTCACCAGGACAGCAAGAACCTTCTCCAGCCAGAGGCTCCATCTGAGCACGTCCTGAGAAGGCCATGCCCCACACCAGCGGGGCACCTCCCCCTGCCACCACCACAGCGTCCCCAGCAGGACCTGGAGTGGGCAGTGCTTACAGTGCCAATTCCTCCCAGACCTGAAATGGGATGCACAGTCCGCCCAGGTGACACATTTACAGAAATCCTGGGATGTGATAGGAAATGCGGCCAGTTTTCCAAAAACAACCCATAGGGGCATCAGTCCTGTGTTACGCGCCCTCCCTCGCTGCCGCCATGGCTGCTCATGGGAAAGGGCACTATGTGTCACTTGTTGCCCTCTGTCCGATGCCGGGCAAACGGGCACAGCCACCTGGGCAGAGGAAGTTGACATCTGACCAGAAGGCTGGGCAGCCCACATTGGAATCCCAGTAAAACGTCTGTGGAAAGCTCAGCCTGGGTTTCCCCGGAGCTGGGTTCTGATCCTTGCACTTCTAGGGGAGGCAGGAGTGGGAGGCCCAAGACGAGTTTTGCTCTGGAACTGGCCTCAAGCCTGGAAGCCCTTAAGAGCATTTAGGGAAAAAGGAAGAATCTCAGTACTGGGTTTTTTTAAAAAAAGGACTGAGTTACCAACAAGGTGACCAACCCAGCTCCTCCCTCAGACTTACAAGGACCAGATGATGGCAGGGGGGATCGAGGAGGGTGGAAGGGAAAGCCTGGAATGACTCTGGCACTGGGAGCTGTCTTGGGAAGCCTCACTCGTGGGTTTGCAGGAGCTGAGAAGCTTCCTGTGGGCACTGCCCTCACCAGTGCAGGCCCTGTGTCCTCTTTCTTCTGCTGCTCAAATACTAAACATCTACTAAATGAAAGGCCCCACCGTGTGTCTTTCTTCTTTGCCTCTCCTCTCATGCTTTACATGGAGTAGATGCTAAATGTCAGTGGAAATATTTCAACTGTCTCTAATGCAAATCCTTTGAGGACAATTTGCTCAGTGGGTCCCTAGGATACTGTGCACCCACTGAGTCTGGACCCTGGGGGTCTGGACGGCAGGAACCACAGGCATGGGAATGGGTGCCTGTGTTGGCCATGGGCTCCTGTAGGGGCCACTCCCATCTGTCCTTCACCCAACCTCCCATGAGAAGGTCAACCATCAAGTGACTTGCCAGCTCTGGCAACTGGGGCATGAGGCAGTGCCCTCCTCTCACCAGAAAAGAACCAATGGCATCTACACTATGATCACCAGGATCAGTCTCCAAACAGCCCCCAAGCAAGCTAGGGATGGCGTCTTTGATTCCAGAAAGCTGAACCATGTGTCCAGAGCCCTCACAACCCAGAGTCGGGAGAGGGAGGGGAATAAACAGACAGCAATGCCAACACTTGTACAAAAGAACTATACAATTTACATATATATTTATATACAGTATATAAATCTCTTTCTTCTCAATCCCAACGAGATCCTCCCCCCCACAAAAAAACCCTACAAGTTGTCAGTAGCAGATCCAAAAACTTACAATAAAAGAGAGAATAAACAGTCTTTCTTCCCTTTCCTTTTCCCACTGTGGTATTAGATAGCGATGTTTAAAAATGAAACCCAAAAGAAAACACACAAATAAGAGTTATTAAAAGTGCAAACACGGTGGGCATCACTTATGTTACATGGAATGTGGCCGGGCCAGGGCAGCGTCGAAGGTTAGGTGTCTGATGGTCCATCATGCCTCTTGGTCTCTCCACCTGCCCTTTGGTTTTCTGTGCCTTAGACGAGGCGTCCTACTGAGAAGGGGAGGTACAAGCAAGAGGTTAGAGCTGGGTTTATGAGAACGCCAACTACACATACCAATTCCCTCCCCAGAGCAGTCTGTTCCACCTGCCGTTGGATATAGGGCTGGGTGGGACACAGGTGAGCTGGGCTTGTGGATAAGCCCATGTTTTATCAAGCTCTCTTTTTCTACCATGAGGTGTCATCACAGTGGCGCCTGAAGCAAGTTGGACATTCCAGAGAACTTGGCTTTGTCTAGTAAGCGCAGCTGGGGCTCCTGATGCCAGCCTTTCAACCTGAGGCTGGGGTGAAAGTGGTAGGTGCTTTTTTATAGGTGAGGATGGTACGATCCTTGGAGAAATGACTCATCTTTCTCGTGTGTCCTCAGCAAGATAATTGAACATAGGAGCCTAGGTGAATAGCCAATCCCACCGCTCCCGCTGCACCACCAAAGCTGCGTCAGAGGGACCAAGGAAGGGGCCCCAGAAAGAAGGCAACTCCTGAATGGGTTTGTGCCTGCTCGTTTCCCTGGGGGAGGATGCCAAGAGTGCCGTTTACAACAAAGGGGGATTTACGACGCTCGAGTGGCCTTGACCGAGAGAATTGGTAGGGCTCCTTCTATCCCTGGGCCCCTGTCCCCTGTCACCCCCAGAAGGAAGAGGGGACTTGGGGAAGAGCCAGAGGTTGTGTGGCCATGCTCCCTCTTCTGCCTGGATGAACCCACTGCTGGCCAACACCTTTAAACGAAGTCCCTTTTCCCTAAGGCCAGGGCCCCCCTTGTTAGCTGAGAGGGGCTTTGGTGCGGATGGACATTTGCATAACCGCCTTGGGTCCTGGCTCCCCAAGCTGCAGGATGTCAGGTGGAGGGACTCTAAGTGATCATCTAAGGAATCTAAGCCCCTTCACTTAACAAATCTGGAAACTGGGCTCAGAGCAGTTGGCCTTGGGCTTACCCAAGGTCCCAGGTCTACTCTGCTAACACCCCCTCCGCCCCAAGGGGTGCTGATCAGTTTTGGAGGCTGTGCAGGTCTCCTAAGGGAGGAGCAGGGAGCTGGGAGGCAAGCACACAAGAGCTGGGCCAGCTCCGCGTGGAGTTATGCGATCTTGCGCGCACCCCTTAACGCCGCTGGGTTGGTCTATGGAACGGGAATTAGGCCGCGCTGCTTCTGCTCTGGCTCTCACAGGACTGCCTTGAGAAGGGACGGAGAAAGGGCTTGGAGGAGTATAAAGTGCTGTGGGAACCCACACCCACCCTCAGCTCAAGTGCCCCCCAGGTGCGCTATCATTCCTTAAGAGCTGAGAAAAAAGATAGAACGTGGGTAGGGTGGAGCCCTGGGTAGATACTGGTATATCCAGTCTTACAGATGAGAAAATAAATTCAGAGAGAGACTGACAGGCTCCTGGCAGGCAAGAGGGAAGTGACAGAGCAGAGCCAGAGGGCCAGCCTTCACCCGCTCCTAGCAGCTGCTCCTCGCAGTGGTGAGTGGAAAGATCCCCACAGACAGACGGACCTGGGACTGTCCTGCCCACCTGGCTGAGACTCGGGACAGAAAACGTACAGAGGCCAGCTCTCTCCTTGAAGGCTTGCTGCGTTGCTGCGCGAATCCCGTTCCTCGTCATATCTCTGCATCCTCAGAGCAACTTTATGTGCAGTAGTAAAACGATCACACCAGCCCCGTTTTCTGAGGGTGACACAGGCTTGGAGATGGCATAGTTTTATGTGGTGAAGCAAACTCAGGCCTGGCGACTGCTCCCAGAACCACGCTTTTCACCACCAAGAGGGGCGGGGAGGGTAAAGGCCTGAGCCCAGGGCTGGCGCTGTCCTCGGGCAGCTAAGCTGGAACGTTGCCTTTTTCTTCAGTGGAGGCACTCGTCTCCAGCCTGCCTGCCTCACAGGATGGGGACAATAATCCTCATGACTGTGCTGTATTAACTGGGAAGGACCGTTCAAGAGAGAGGCACGGTCCTCAGAACGCAGGGCAGAAAATTCAGCTCCCCGGTGAGCAGTCTAGTTGGTAAAAATGCCTGTGTTCATGGGGCATTTCCAAAAAATTCATTCTCTCAGATTCCAGGCTACATTCACCCCCAAACTCCGCGTCTTCCCCTCACCCGACTTCTGCCCATCCCCGACTTGGCATGCAAGCCCCTCTCAGCCCACCAGAGGGCACCGCATGACACCAGATGACCGGCATTCGCTACCCAGGTGGCCTTTCTGTGGCTCCCCAGAGCGGAGGGACCCAGGGAAGCTGCCATCAGCCCCAGGGTATGTTCCTCTACTTCTCCTAATTTCTTTCATGCTTTCACTACAAACCAGGTGCTGGGCTAAGTTCTTCACAGGCACCAGCTGGGTAATCTTCACACCAGCTCTCTGAGGCAGATACCATCATCTGCATTTACAGGGGAGGAAATGGAGGCTCGGAGAGTTTGGGAACTTGCTAAGGATTAAAGGGCTAGTGAGTGCAGAGCTGGATGCTTTCTCCAGGTCCTGGACACCTGATGCCTGGCAAAGCTTAGAGGAAAGCTAGGAAGCCTTCGTGAGCTTCCTGGACCCAAGGTCATCCCACTCAGCCTCCCCTTGGACGCTGTGCACTGTGAGGACTTGAAACACCAGCAAGGGAAGGGGACCCAGGGCAGAGTCGCTACAGAGCCCTGTGATTCCCACCCTACTGAGCCAGAAGTGCCCGTGGGTGGGCCTAGGGTCTAGGCTAACATTGGCTAGTCCCTTCCCAATACTGGCTCTCTCTCTGCCTGCGCTCCGAGAAATGGACACAGACTGCAAGTGCATCAAAGCAAAATGTCACTGCATAGGACAACCCCTCACCGTTCCTTCATCATTTGACAAGGATCTAATGCACTACTACTGCCAAGGATCACGCACTGTGCCTGCGGTTAGAAATTGAGAAGACAGAGTTCATAGCTTCAACAGAGAATCAGGAAGATGAATTGCAATGCAGTATGGTAACTGCTTCTGACAGCGGCAATAATTTTATGAAGAAGAACAATAATATTGAACTTCCACTGAGTTCCTGTAACGTCTCAGGCACTATGATAACTGCTTTGACTCATTGTCCCCTTGAATCAGCACAACAGCCCTATGAGGTAGATACTAGGGTATTTCCATCTTACAGATGGAGAGATTGAAACCTGGAGTGGTTGAGGACCATTTTGCCCAGTGTACTTGGCCAAAAGAACCAGTCTGCAGCCGAGGCGGGGTTTGATCCATGACACTGCACTGTGTCCTGGGAACTCAGCGTAGTGGGAACACAGAGAGGCATCCTCATTAGACAGGATGCCCAGAGTGATGAAGTCACTCACCCAGGGTCACCAGGGTGAAGGGGGCAAGTCCTGAGACTGGGCAGCTTGTGGCAACTCAGCCATTTCCCAAGCTACCTTTTGGGTTTACACTGTCAAGCAGGGGTTAGGACAAGGAAGAGTCCTTACGTCTCCTCCAAGGCAGTCTCAGCTTTCCCAAAGCTTCCATTTCAAATAAGCATCACTCAAAGTGGTACTTTCAGGTCAGACCCTTCCCCGGCACTTCAGACCCACTCATCCTTCAGGTGCAGCCAACTCGACGTGCCCAAGTCCTCCTCCTCGTCGTCTCCTCCACCCCCTACACCCCTGCTCTTCCTCCAGTGTCGCCCCTCTTAGTGAATGGACCCATCCTCCAGCTGTCCAAACCATCCTCCATCCTCTCCCACTCAGGCACCAAGCCTTGCAGGTCTACCCAGCTCAGACCCCCCCCCCACTCCACTGCATCCTCCTCTGTGTTTCTCTTAATTCAGGCCTCCATCACCTCCCACCCGGACAGTGCCACACCTCCTACGGAGTCCTCTGCCTCACTCATCGCCAGTCCATTTCCCACACTGCACCAGAATCATTTTTAAGCAAAACTGACACTATTGCTTCTCTGACTGAATCCCTTCAATGGCTTCCCACTGCCCTTAGAAAGTTGAAACTCTCTCACCTTGCCTCCTGCAGCCTCCCCTCTCCTCCCATCCTCAACATGCATCTCAGTCACATGGACATTTTTCAGCTCCTCTAAGACACTGCTCCCTCCCCTCTGCAGCGTCCTCTTCATTTGCCTCAGCTCAGAGCTCTCTTCCCTCCCCTGACCTCTCTGCTTGGCCACCGCCTGCTCGTTGCTCAGGTATCCATGTAGAGCAGGGGTGACAAACTTATCCGTCAAGGACTAGATAGTAAGGAGTTTAGCTCTGTGGGCCATGTACAGTGTACAACAGTTCCTGTTGTATATACTCCTTTTTTGAAAATTATATCTCTTTAAAAATACAAAAAGCATTCTTAGCTCACAGGCTGTACAGAAACAGACTGTGGACTAGCTTGGGCCCCTGGGCCATGGTTTGTGGACCCCCCATTTAAGCATCGCGTCCTTCCTGAAGTCTCCCAAGGCCGTCTGTCCCCGAGCTGATGTACCCGCCCTACACATGTTCCTACAATACTCTGCACTTACTCCACTGTGACAGAGATCATTGGGTGTCCCCAGAATCCATGCTCTCCTCCTCTTCCTGGGCTCCCAGCCTTCCTCACTGTGGGGTGTGGTCAAGTGACTGAGTTCCAGCCAGTGAAATACGAGAGGTGATGCATGTCACTTTCAGGACGGGCCCATGCGGGCCCATAAACCCTGCCCCACATGCGCTGCTTCAGGTTTTACCCTGTCTGGTGGACTGGGAAGGGAGATGACCCGCAGGGTGACTTTGGAAGCCACATAATGAAGCTGGCAGAGACATTCTCAGCCTAGATCTCAGAGTGACTGCATATAGAGCAACCCCCCCATTCCTTCCCTTACACACACACACCCCCCACCACACACCAGGACCTGGAATCAGGGGGAGCTATTATATGGGCAAGATGAAAAAATTCCCACTGTGTTGAACCATTACATGAGTGGCTCTACTTGTCACTGCAGCCTGGCCTATCCTAATACACTCTCATTGCACTTACGTGAATGCAAATACGTCAGTATCCGTCCTCTCAGTAGACGGGGAAGGGAGGGATAGGGACCTTATCCATCAGTTCCTCCTGGTGTCAGGCATCTAGCACGAAGCATAACGCACTCCCAGGAAACAGCTGAATAAACGAGCACCTAGGATCTCATCTGTTGGGGGAAGCCCTTGGTCCCTGGGCCTGGGAGGCACAAGTCCCGCCAGGCCAGGAGCACAGGTGCGCACTCACCTTCTTTGCTGACGCCCAGGCAGCCCTTCAGCTCGGGCAGCGAGATGACCTTGTCCTTGTTCAGGTCGCAGTAGTCGGTGAAGCGCCGGGCGCACTTCTTGGGCTTGGCTTTCTTCTTCACGTAGCGCTTGAAGGGCTTCATCTCCCGCTTGTTGATGTCGCTGCTGCTGTTGCTGTCCAGCTGGCTGAAGTACCAGTGCACCACCCGCTCCTCCAGCGTGTGGCTGGGGTCCGGCTCCGAGAACCTGGGCCATGGGCAGACACCCCCACCCCAGAGCACACCACTCAGGCTCCTGCAGGAACCATGAGCCCCACCACAGTTCTCCCCCCAGCATGGTCAGATGCCAGGGTACTGCTGGCAGCCAAGCCGAAGGCCCCCAGCCCCGCTCTGCTTGCAGCAGAATCAAGCCATCCCTTCCAACTTGAGCCTCAAGACTGGACAATTCATTTCTCAGGGTGGGGGGTCCAAGTGGGTGAGGCTGCCACACCCTCCAGCAGAGCCAGGAATGTTCTCGTACAAGATGGGTGCTCAAGACATATTGGCTGGATGTCATTGACCTGAGAAAACCACAAGAATCCAAACTGTCCTTCTCCCAGCCTCATGCTGCTGCCAGACAAGCTGCTCACCACCCATGAGTGTGACACCCAAATGGGAGAGGGTGCTCTGAGCCTGCACCACACACCCAGCGCCAGCCCAGGGCTTGGAGAGCTTCCAAAGCAGGAGGCAGAACCCCTGGCTTCAAACTGCTCACTGTCTTGGCAAGACAGAGCCCAAAATGTGAAACCGGGCAGCAACAATTCCATGTGAAGTGTGAGGTTCCCATGGGCCGTCCCTGTCGGGTACCAAGTCCAGCAGGAATTGAGAGAAGAAGGCAACTGAGATGGACAAAAACAGAGGTTCTGTAACTGGCAAGTCCAGCCCTACTAAGGGTGAGTCTCTCCACACACAGCTTTCAAGACAGGAGGTCTGAGGTGGACCCAGGAAGCCACGTGTTAACTGAACCCCCGGGGGATTCTGCCGAGAAGCACTGGACTGGAATAACCAAGAAAGCTTCCTGGTGTTGAGATGCATGGTGGTGACTGTGTCCAGCAACCCTTGTGCGCCTGGTGACCACAAGGTGATAAGAGCAATGTCTTCTTATGTAACATGGACAAGGGCTCCCCATCCATTTTATTTCCTCATGCCTCATTTTCTCCCCAAAAGGATTCAGAGTGCTAGCTAATATTTAAAACTTAAAGCCAGAGATGGGTCTGTTCCAGAGTGGGTGACTGGGGTCTCTGACCAGCAGGACAGAGCCACAGGAGTCCCATGGCTCCTGATCCCGGGGCTTGGCACTGCGTGAATGTGGTCCAGGCCCTTGTGTTTAAAGTCCTGGGTAACTTTCTCTTGGCTAGGGGACTGGGCTGAGGTTGAGAGGCCCATATATTCAAATACCTAGTCTGCAAGGCACTGGGACAGACCACATGACCGCCGCCGTGGGCTAGAAGCGGGAACAGAGGGGCTCACTGTCTCACAGGGACCCTAGACCCGGGGTTCAAGGCCTGCCGACATATTCTGAAGCTGTACCAGGCAAGAAAAATATTCAAGGCACTTGCCAATGCCCTGGGGGTTCCTCTCTGGAGTTTGCCGGGTTTTCCAGGAGGGAGGGAACCATCCCTGACACCTCCCTTATGAATAAGCAGGCAGACCCCCTCCTCTCCCCACCCCTAAGTGATCTCACCGTTTAGGGAAAAAGAAGTTTCATTACCAAAAAAAGCCAGGCATCCCTGCTAAATGCCCATTCCTATTTAAGTGGATTGCAGCCTTGGGCAGGCCCCCCAGGCACCCTGGACCAGTCCCAGAGCAGATCCGCCAGCACGACCTCATCCTGACAGGTCTGGTGCAGGGAGCACTTGGGAAAGGTGTGAGGGACCGTCTGCCTCGAGCTCCCTGGGAATCCGTCATAGAAGCCAGGCTTGGAAGGGCTTTCACACAGGCAGAGCTCAGATGTTTGTCTCTGCCACTATATGGTATTCTGGTGGTTTTAAGCTTCCTCTATTTTCCCTGCAACACCCACACTCGAGCCTGCAGGGTACCCCAGGCGGGCAGCAGAAAACTTGCCATCAGGACGCTGGTGGAGCAGGAGTGAGGTGGCCAGCTCCCTCTCAGAGCACCCACCTGCTTCTGCCTCCCCCTAAACGCGAGGGAGGACCCAGACTGTGGAGGGGCCCCAGGGGAGGCGCTCCAGCTGGTCCCGTCCAGGCTTTCTAAGTCAGCCAGGGGAGGGGGTCAGCGGCTTTCCCTCTCAGCCCCTCCCAAGGGGGCCCCCCAAGAGCCCCAGGCAAAGGCAGCTCTTCCTCTAACCTTTAGGCTTAGCATAGCGTAATGTCTACCTAGAGGCTGGAATAATAAAGCCTCAGTCGCTGAGACGGGAAGGGATGAGGTCATCCCACCCAGACGCCCTGCCAGGAGAGGCTCACTGCCTCCAACACATGTTCCTGGGGCTCCCATCCGTCCAGTTCTCAGGGACTCGTGGATGGAGCTCCCTGCACCTTCCTCGGGGCTAGTCTGCAGCAAGAAGCAGGTCTTCCACCCACTTACAGCCTCTAAGACGTTCCTTTCGTGCCAGAGAGTGACTGTCATTTGGCTCCTGCTCCCTTTTGCCTCCCACCCCTGAATCCGGTGTCTGGATAACCGCATTCCTGCCCTCTTCACTCCACAGGACCTCGCAGCCCAGAGCAGCCACGACTTTTGACCGTTAGAACCCTACACACACCCCAGCCCCCATCAGACTCCTGACCCAGCCGAGGACACGTCCCCAGGAGAGGTCTTTCGAGGCCCCTCCAAGCAGTGCCTCTGGTTCCCTATAACACTGCCACGTCCCACAGCCTGCTCTGTGGAGCCTCAGGGTCCTGCCTCTTCCCCGCTCCTCCCCAGCTGGTGTTAAGGCTCTCTGCTTCGGAACTCCTTTGACATCCAGAATCCCAGGCGGCCCCCTCCCCATTATCTGGGGAGAGAGCCCGGCTCTGTGTGTGTAGCTGAGCAGTGCTAGGGCCCTACTTTGGAATTCAGCACTTCGTCTAGGCCAAGCTCCAAGTGCATTTAGGCAAGAATTTCTTAGCTTTGGGAGATCAAGGACCCTTCAAGAACCCAAACAAAGCCAGAGTCCTCCTCTCTCAAACGTGCAGGCACCCAGAGCTCTGCAGATTTTAGGGGTTTAATGGACTCCTAAACCTCATCCAAGGTCATGGGCTCAAGAAAAGAATCTTTGTCTAGAGGGAAGGAGACTCCAGCCATGGCTCCAGAAGAATGTTTAAGTATGAACCTTCTGGAAGAAGATGGAATGAGACAAAAGCCAGTAACAGGGGGGTGGGGGTGGGGTGGGGCTAGTTTTCATGTTTCCAACAAGCATAATAGAAAAAAGAAGACTACTGAAGGCATCTGGTTCCAAACTCTGAAAGTAAGGTTTCTGGCTTCACAACAGCCTTATGTCCCAAACCTACCACGCTTCATACAAGAACTAGTGAAGACTGAGCTCGATCAGGAGTCCTGTTTTAGCCAAACCAGCAGGGGGCATGTGCTGGATTGGGGGGGTGGGCAGGAGAGCCTCCCCCAGAGTTTCCAGGAATCTCTCCAGCAGTCTTTGCTGGAGTCCCTTCCATCACAGCTAGACTCCCCACAATTTACTCCTGACCTCAAAGCCACACCCCACTGGTCCCTCCAGCTCCTGCAGCTTTTTAGAAGTAGCCTTTAAAAACACTGGCAACTTGCACACCCAGTTCTAGGGTTACACTGGCATCAGACTTCTAACCTCTGTCTCATACATGCACACAGAAACCCCATTGGGCTCAGGACCACTAGAATTCAAAGCTGCTCAGCAGGCAAGGGCTGGGGACCCTACGTTAGAGAGTGTAATGGTTCTTTAAGATCACTTAGCAGCGATTCCCAGGCCCTTGCTGTGGGCCTCCCTGCACATGGAGTTCCACTTCTACTGAAAGAGCTCCTTGGGTGTGTAGAGTTTCCTCGGATATGGTGTGGAGGGACACACGGAAATGGTGGTGTCAGCCCTGCCTTTGGGATGTTTTGGTGGCAGCCCCATTGACTCCTGCCTCCAGGGATAAGGAAAACCAGTAGAGCCAGGTCCCTCCCTGGACTGGCCCCACCGAGTCTTCTCCCGAATTTAGAGGTGGCAGGTGCCGCCCTTTGCCTGCAGCCCTCTCCGTTTTGCTTCTGCAGCCTCAGCCTGCCAGGCCTTGGCTGCAATGCACAGCTGGAAAGCCAGCCCCATTTAACCACCAGGAAACTGGCTCTGGCCAAGATCTTGGGCCCAATTCTGCTGTCCCAAGCAGTTTTAAACAAGGTGAGGTGGGATGGCCTGGAGGCACTAGCCAAGCCAAGCAGACCAACTAAGCCCCATCTGGAGTCGGGTCCAGGCCCCACCAGCTGTGCGGGCGGGTGGGGCTGGGAAATGCCAAGTCAGCCACATTCCAGCCTCTTCCTTGCAAGACCATCAACAAGGAACTGCACTGGGCAGGAAGGAGGAAGCCACAGTGCAAACGGTCTCTGTTTGCGGGGCCATGGGAGGGGCCAGGAGGCTCACACAGCCCATCCCACCTCCCCTCAAAGCTGACTTTTTCTAGGGCGGGTTGGAGAAAGGCGAGGGTTCCCCTCCTCTAGAAGACTCTGCCAGTTAGGACCTCAGAACTCTTCCATTGAGACTGATAAATTCTGATGGGTGCCATGGAGGGGCTGATCTCCGGTGGTGGGAGGGGAAGGTGTCTGCCTCCTGAAGCCTGAGTAGGAAGGCCCAAGAGCATAATTCAATCAGCCAGCAAAACTTCACTGAGAACAGCTCCCATCTAATGATACTTGCAGACCACCCTCTCCCAGGCACTAGCCACAGATGTTTCCATGGATACCCCATTTTACTTTGCCTATTTTTAGATTTGGGCGGCCCTGCTATTCCCCCTAAATTGGAATAGAAAGGGAAGTAAATGTCTCCTCTTCTACTCCCTACATCTAACAAGTCTTCAAATCCTGTTGATTTCATTAATTAAGCTTCTATATGTCATCCCTTCCCCCAGACCTGTAGTCCACCCTCTAATTGCCTTTCACTCCGACCATTGCTGTAACCTTCCTGACCCATCTTGCTCCCTTCCCGTCTGGCTTCCATAGGAATGCCCATCCTATCACGTGGCTCCCCACTGCCCTCTTTGGCATGAATCGCAAGGTCCACCACGATCTGGGCTCTGCCCAGCTCTACAGCCTCATCTCCTGCCTGCCCACAGACTGCCTCCCAAGCTTAAACCTTACTTCTCACAATTCCTTCCACAGACCCTATCTCATTCATACCTCATTACCCGTAGGTCCCCTCTACTGGGATGTCCTTACTCCTGGTCCATCTGGGTTGGTGCATTTTCCTATTTGTAAGTGAAGATGTGGCTTAAATGTCACCTCCTCTGGAAAGCCTCCTCTCACATGCCCTCTCCCCTGAGTCCCTGCAGGACTTTATCTGCCTCTATTGTCACATTGGCTTTATAGTGCAATCACGTGATTCTTAGATCTCTCTTCTCCCAGGAGCTCCTCCAGGCCTTCATCCCTGGATGTCCCCAGAACCCAGAACAGAGCTCATGCCAGAGGTGGGTGGAGAAATAAGAGTTTGTGCAAAGCCAAAACCTCCATGCCTGATAGGCGGTAGTTCAGGCTAATACACTCTCTTTTCTGTTCTGCCCAAACATCCCCTCTGTCCCTTCTTCCCACTGTCCCCAAGTGGGACTGTTTCCCACTGGCCCCAGCTGATGCCCAGCTTTAATGGCCAGACCCCGAGAGGATGCTGGGATCAGTTGTGGCTTCCTTGACCCTGTGTCTGCAACCCCAACTCTGCCAGAATTCAGAGCCAGTGCCCAAACCCAGGATCCCAGGAAGCCTGGATTTGCTAATTCTCCTCCCAGCCCTGCTGCACATGTGCTGCCCTGGGCCTTTGCTCTCCTATCACAGAAGTCTGCCTGACCAGGGGCTGTCCACACGGTGCCCCGAGGCCCTTGGGCCCAGCCAGGGCGCTGGGAGGCCCTGGTGACAAGGAAATGCCACAGTGAACTTGACAGCTAGATTTGGCCTCATAACTAGTCTTGAAGTAGTTGGTGGACCCTCTGAAATGTGCCAAGATAAAGAGGCCTCATCAAGACATCCTTCTCTATATCTGACAGGGATTCATCCATCTACCCACCCATCCTTCTGGCTGGTTATTCATTCCACAGACATTTACTCAGCACTTACTATGTGCCAGGCGCTGTTCTGAGTTGTAGGGACACAGTAGGGAAGAAGGCAGAAAATGCGCCCTCTCTCGTTTAATTTAAATTTCCATTGGGTGGGTGATAAAAAGGCTATAAATAAACAAACCAGCAAAAGAAAAAAACACAAAAAACAAAAAACATCAGATAGTGATCACTGCCGGGCTGAGAATTAAAAAGAGGTGTCCTGATAGAGGGGGACTGGGCTGTTCCTTTAGAGTGGATGGTTAGTGAGAAGGTGACATTGAAATGGAGCAGCCGGGCCAGTCACGGGAAGATGGGGGACTCACACCCCAGGCTGAAGGAGCAGCCAGCATGGAGGCCCTGGAGCAGGCAAGAGTCTGGCCTGTTTGAGGACCTGAGAAGGACCAGTGGCTGGAACATAATGATGGGAGGGAGAGGAATATGAGAGGAGGGTGAGAGCCAGCGAGACCATCCTGCAGGGCCAGCTCACATCAGCGTTTGGGCTTATTCTAAATTTAGCAGGAAGATCTGGGAGGGATTTAAGCTCAGAAAAATTGGTAAGCCGGGACAGCCCCCTCCCTGTAGAACTGCTTCTCTTTCTCCCTCCCCGCAGGCCCACCCCAACTCCCTTGATTTCTAAACTATTTCTTGGTTCACTTTGTCTGTCTTTTGATTACAAGTCTAGCTTCCAGGTAACACAATTGCTAAATGCAGTTCAAACCTTCCGTGCGCATCAAAACCAAACATAGTCAAGCTAATATGAGCTTAAAATGAAAAATATGTTTAGGAAAAGAACATTAAAAAGAATTTTTTTCCCAAACTCTATTTTATACCTAAAAGAAAGATTTTCTTGGGGAAACAAAAAACAAACAAAAAACCCTTCCCTAAGGACATACTTGGATTAAAAGCGTTTATAAACTCCTTATATTTTTATTTTCTGTAGCAATCTCTTCAGCCTGCAATTCGAGGGCAAGGCTTCCATCCTAACACGCCCTAGCAGAAGGGCCCACCTGTGCTCTTGTCCCCACTGGCCCAGGACCCAGCTCCCGCAGAAGCAAATGGGATGGAAGGCGATGTCTTGTCTCCTTAGGACCCGAGTACAAGCACCAGGCCAGCACCCTGGGGCGCTGTGTGTGGGAAGCACCAGACATGGGATTTTTAAGGCCATGCCCCCTCCTCTTTTTTTTCTCCCTCTCTTCTAAAAAAACATAAATAGCTCATACCCAATTTGTATGCAACAACAGGTATGTTTTCACATTCCAAGCATAAATAACATAAAGGCGTATAATACTGAATATGCCTTTTCATCATTTCCCATCCTCCCTTCCTGGAGGTTGGGACACAGCCCTCTCTATTTTAGACTCCCAGTCGCTGAGCACCATGGGCTGCCGCTGCCGCTGCCTCTGTCAGACCCTGTCTCCATGTTCTCAGACTTACTGCTGTGCTCCTCCCAGGGGCTGCCTGGCGCCATCCACGGGGTGAGCAAAACCAGAGTAGGGCCAGAAACCAGCCTCAGAGCTCACAGGACCATGAGGGTGCTGAGAGCAAGCTCCCCAGCAAGCAGTTTCCAAGACTGGCAAGTCGCGAGGCAACCACTGTGCTCACTCTGATGTGACGTTAAAGTGGGTCTTCAGGATGGCTGTCTTCGTCTGCCTCGGGACGCAGAAGCACTGACAGCTGTGCTAGGAGTCCTGGTTCCCACCCTAGATACACACCCTGTGGTCCTGCTGACCACCACTGAGGCAGTCATCCTGGGGCCCTTCCTGTCATCGGGCCCCACTCCTTGCCTGTTGAGACCTCTGCCTCTGAGAAGATGTGGGGGGACTAGCCCTCCCTCTTGGTGAGCCTCGTGAGCCCATCCCTGCCAAGCACATGGTACTTCCTCTGCTGCTGCAGGAGCCTGAACTCGCCCCCACCCACTGCTGTGCCTCCTCCTCTGGCATCATAATGGGAAGCACGTCTCACAGGCCCTTTGAGATCTGGTTCCTGCCTACCTGCCTCTTCTGTCTCATCTACTACCACTGTCATCTCCTCCACCGTCTCCACTTCCATCCACCCCAGTCCAGCCATAGAGAACTATGGATGTGCACTTTCTTGGGATCACAATATTCTTTCCTTTTTCCTGGAATGGCTTTCCTTCTTTTACTGGCTAAGTCCTACCTGTCCTTCAAAAATCACCTCCTCTGAGAAGCCTTCCCTGACTCTTCCAGACTGAGTTAGCAAACTCTGCTCTGTTCTTCCACCTCTGTTCAAGCACTTACCACACAGTTTGTGTAAGTGATTGAACAGAGCACAGTTCTTTGGAGGCAGGGGCATACCTCACACCCCTGGACTTCCAGTCCTTAGCCCAGTGCTTGGTGTGCCATGCATGTTCAATAGGTCTGAGCGGTGGACAGATGAATACATGCATGCTCCAGCCAACTGACCCAATGGGCCAAAATTAGTGAATGTTGGTGATGCTGGTCACTGGGGAGCGTGTGCATTTCAGTCTCATGTCAGGACTGCCTTGGTCAGCATACTCTCCTGAACTAAGCTGGATTTGGCTATGGTAGTGTCCAATCCCTCTGCCCAGAGTCCCTTGGGATTCTCAGGAAGCCAAAATGACACGTGGCTCCTGCCTTCTCAGAAGAGTAGAAAACCACCAAATGCTCTGGACTCCCTCCCTGCGGTCCCGGTCCCCACTGTATGACCATCCCCCTTCCTGCCATTCAGGACTCTCACTCCAACGCATCCACTTCTGAGATTAAAATGCTAGAAGTCTCCAGACACCCCTGGACTTGCCTATAATCAGGTAAATAGGCAGAGAAAAGCAACGCCCAAAGACTAGAAAGGGGAGAAAGGCAATGAGATTTCTGGTGGAAGGTGGGACAAAGCTATAGCTACAGGGTTTCAGGAAGAGGACTGACTTCCAGCCCTTGCCCTAGGCAACCCCTCCCCACTCTCCCTGCAGCATCTGAAATGTCAGGGGCCCCACAGTCCCTGCTGGGCCGGAGTCCTGCTCACATTCTCACCTCCCACCTCCGGTGGGCGCTGCTGAGTTAATGGCCTGCACCATGTCAGTGGTGAGGGCATCCAGTAGGCTTGTGATAAACTCCATCTTCTTCCCTTCTGGACAGCCTGAAAGGTAAAGGGAGATTTGAAGGCAGACGCCAGATAAATAATCAAGTAAACAGCTTCTTCCATTACCACCATTTTCCAAACCTCTCCAAGTCCGTCTTGTCCAGCCAAATCCACTTTGGGAATTGTCCACAGCTCAGCTGATTCTCATAAACCTCCACAGTTCCTCTTCCTACAGCCCACAAGGGTCCATCAGACCAAATGGATAATAATGCTTTCAGTACTCTTCCATTCCACACATTTTTGCTGAATATCAACTCAGGCACTATGTCAACACTAGGGAAGTAATACACAGGGTTCTTATCCTCATGAAGCGCACTGTCTACCAGGGAACTCAAACTACTTCTGGTATCATATGACCGGGTGACTCTAGAGGCAAGGGCCAGGTGCTGCGGGGCCACAAGGAGTGGAGAGAACGTCAGTGGTCACAGTTGACTGTAGGAGACCTACCAGTTTACCCATCCAAGAACCTCCTCCTGTTTTCACATCGCTCCTTATCCAGCTCAGATTATAATCATCAAGCCTCCCTTACACGTACTCTCAAGTCCTTTGTTTCTCTAGACCTCACTGCACTGTTCCAGCAAAACGGCAGCACAGCTGAACCTTCTCACAGATGTGCAGTCTCCAAGTCTGCACCCCGCAGCTGCGTACTGCTGGTGTGAAAACACCAGCACACAGCTGGAGAGAGGGGCCTTCCTGTAAATGCATGGTTCCACGCGGGTCCTAGCACTACCTACAACCCTCCTCTCTGCAGCAACTATCTCATTCCCTTCTCTCTGCAGATACTCCAGGTCTCTGGTTAAATGCTGTCTTCTCAGAGAAGCCACAGACTCTCTCTGCCCTCCTCTCAGCATCTTGCTCTTTCCCTCTGGAGTACCTGTTCCCACAATTTATCTATGTTTGTTTTTGTTTATTTGTATGCTATCTGTCTCCCCAACTCAGTAAGCCTCATGTCGATTCTGATCACTAGATTATACCCAGTGCCCGGCACATAGTGAAATCTCAATCCACATTTGTTGAAGGGATGGCTAGAAGGAGGCAGCCTGATCTCTCCAACTCCGTTCTCATGACAGAGTGATTTCAACAAACCTCACTTGGAAACCCCCTGACTTTCAGGAGCCTCTGTTTTCAGTTCTCATTTAGAGTCTGGATGGGGAACGGTGGGCCCAGCTCCCACCAGCACTGACCTGCATTTGTGCAGATTAAGACTACAGTTGTTCCGAGACATCAGTATTTAGTAATCTTATTGCAACTCACTGGCAGAGAACACTGTAAGTAAGGGAAGCCCAGCACAGCAGCCCTTCGGAGGTCCTGGCCCCCTGCCTGTGTGTCTTATGTTATACCCCAATGACAGTTCTGGGCCATCAGGGATCATTGCAAAGGCACTCTACAGGGCTGGTGACAGACATTGCCATGTCCCTCAGGACAGCCCCTCCCTGGGAGCTATCTTCTCTTTGAAGCCCTAGGGAAAAGCGTCCATGGCTTCCAGAACATTGTCCCAGTCACCCTAGGATAGAGAAAGAATTACAGAGTTGCCAGTCATTTTAACCCAATGACTACATTTTAAAGATAAAAAGGTAAGAACAAGGGGGAGAAACAGTATGCTCAAGAGCGCACTGGACTAATTAGAGACAAATCTCAGACTGGATACAGATCCCACGGCTCCTGCAATGCCTGCCCAGCATCCCCGTGACATCTGACAGATGGGGAAACAGACCCAGAGGAGGGCGCTGCTTCTGTAAGATTAGGGGGTGGAGGAAAAGAAAGAGGTGACAGCGCCAGCAAGGGGCAGTGTCATCTCCCACCTGGCAGCTCCCTGTCCTTGAAGGGGTCGTCCACCTCCACACTCTTGGCCCTGGCGTCGCTCTCACAACTGGGCATCACATAGCTGGGAAGAGAGAGATACGAGGATGACGAGGGGTTGGGAGCTGAGCCGACTTCAGCTCCTACTACCAGTGATGATCTGTGTGGTCCCTAAGCCTAATGTCCCTGGGACAGCAGCAAAATATCTCCTACACTGTCCAGCAGCTGCAGGACGATCCCAGCATCAGCATCCCCAAGGAGACATGTTCAGTGTTATCACTTGAGCATAACAACACCACCTTATGTCTGCATGGAGGATCAGTTTGATCCACAGAACCTAGTGACTCCAGCAGGGAAATAACCTTCTTACTGGTGAATTGAGGTTCAGAGAGGTTGCCTACTTTTCCAAGGTTACCCAGCTAGGAAGGGCCAGACCTGTGACCAGAATCCAGGATCCAGGTTTCTCTACCAGAATCTCATCTGCCCATGGGCAGAAATGTTGCTCCCCTAGGCCCTCGACTCCCACCGGGCTGGGAAGAGAAAGCTGGGAGATGCCAGGTGCCAGCTTGACAGGAAGCTGGTTCTCCTGCCCCAGGGTCCACCTGAGGGGCAGGATGGGCTCGGGGGGGGGCTTACCGTGTGGAGGTTCCGGGCAGCGGGCGCCCCGTGTCCACCAGCACACACCAGCAGTAGCCAGTGGACTGGTGGCACTGCACTGGCTTATAGAGCCCCCCAGGGGCACACTCGGGGATGACGATGCCCTCCCGAGGGTTCTGCCGCGCCTCTTCCAGGGCACTCTGTCTCTCCTGGTCACACGAGTGGACCTTCTCTGCAAGAGAAGACGCAGCCTGTGGGGACTCTCACTCCTGTGACGTCATTGCTGTCTTCCCTGCCAGGACCCGGGACCCGGTCAGGCCCCCCAGGAGCTGATGGCTGGCTGGTGAATCACAGTGGGGAGCTGTGTCCCCCACACCAAGGGCTGAAGGCCCAGAACCTCCCTGTGGCCCTCTCACCACCAGGCTGCACCAGCATTCACACCCAGTGGGTTCCAGCAGCCTCAAGGCAGTCAGGGACTGCAGGGCCACTCCTCACCAGAGCAGCTCTGCCCCGGGGGTGGAATCTCCTGGCTGTTTTCAGAGTGGCTCCTGCTGATGCACTGTCTCCTGGCTCTGGAGAGGAGGCTGCAGGAGCCTGGCTGCCCTGCCAGCTGACAGCTGATGCAGGAATGCCTGTGCGTGTGGACACTCTCCCAAGCCCAGACACAGCGGGACAGAGCCACGGCCTCCGGCCTCCAGGCGGGGGATGCTAAGTGCCCAACAGGAGCAGAATCAAGGACCAACTCCACCCCTTCCTGGCCTCCAGCAGGGCTGAACAAAGTAGGTTGAATGGACCTGAGCTGATTACACAACACTGCTTCCCTCCAGTGGGAGGCAGAACCAGGCCCACAGGAAGGTGTCTGCACTCAGAGGACTCAGGAACATGTCAGGGTGTCTGAACAGCCAAACCTGGTGTTCCTGGAGTCAGACCAGGCTGAGGCAGTGCCTGGTGCCTGGAGGCCTCAGACCCACACGGCCCCTGACCAGCCAGCCTGCCTGACTTCCCTTTCTTGTTCTTTTGTTGATTTTGTGTTTTGCTTTTTAGTTATTAAAAATAAGTAATCTTGGGTTTCTTTATTTGTTATAAAGAAAAATTTGAAAAGCCCCTGATCATCCCACCAGAGTTAAACACTGCCTTCCCCGGACCTTTTCTTTCGCACATACACACAGATGCAATATCTGCTTGGGTTTCTTTTAACAATGAAAGGGACTATATCGTAAACCCGTGCAGTCACTTTTTTATCTACTTGTTTATCTGTTTATTTACTTTATTATCACTTTACTTCTTTCATGAACAATATTCCACAACTTCCCTCCTGAAGAAGACAGGAATTGTCTTGAGCATCCTGTGAAGTTTTCCCAGCATGTTATGGAAATACCATTCTTAGAGCCGGGAGTTTGGTACCAGCAACCAGGAGACTCATTCTGCTCATTAGACAACAGCACAAATGATGAAGTAACAGAAGCTCAGCTCTGAAGGAGCCAAACCCTTTGAAATAACAGCTCCGTTAATGATATACGTACGAACTGGACAGATGTTTAAACAGACGAGAGGTGTACACAGAGACGCAAAGAGCTCAACACCGTCTTAGAGGGAAGTTAGAGGATGCGGAAGTGATTCTTTGCCTCACACTTAGGGAAAATGTCTCCCTGGAGGGAGAGGGACTATTCCCTTAAGGGCATAAAAATATCTGAGGGTCAGGAGGCAGGTATATACAGCATATTCACTATTAAGATACAATTCTGAATCTGGACAATGGGAAAAAAAGAACTATTGTTTTCATAATGCAAACAGCAAAACTAAACAGAATCTCCTTGACTAGAGGAACAGGAGTTTAAAACAGTTGATTGACACTAGACTCAGGATTCTGAACCCAGTTATAACCACCACCAGAACAGCCCCTAGAGGAAGCTTAAGAAAGAGACACAGATAGGTAAGAGAGGGGCCTGGGGGGCACCCGGCCTGAAGACCTAGAATTTTGAGTTGAGCCCCTAGCTGGGATGGAGCAGTGGCACCTTCCAGGGGAAAACACAGAGGTTTTTAATAGCTCTCCCAACCCCAAGTTGGTAACCTTATTTTTCTACCTCGTATTTCATGCTGCACAAAAAGGCGACAGAGGAGCAAAACCAAAGGAAAATGGCTTTTTACTGGCACCACGGCCGTGTAACAACCTCTGACAGAGGCTTTAAATTAAGATCCTCCAGGCCAACACGCTAAAGCTATAAATCAGATAGGAAGTGAGATGCGAAGAGAGGGTGGAGAGAGTTTCCCGGGGACAGAGCGAATGGGGAACCCGACTTCACTCCGTCAGGGATCCAGACGCTGCGGAAGTGGGGAGGGGAACCAGACAAGACAGGGGGATCCTGTGGTTTGGGGGCTGTTGACAGATTTCTGGAAGTCCCTGAAGGCCATTCTGAACTGTTTGTAGGCCTGCTTCCATAGAGGCTGCACGAAGTTCCATGGAGAATACGAACCATACAAGGATGACGCTCGCTAATCTGAGAAAACCAGGGCTAGTGTGGAATTAGAGAAAAGGCTGAGTGGGGGGCTGTTACCTTTTTATTCGTTTGTCTGCTTGCTTGCTTACTACGTTACGGCAATCTCTGCAAGTCCAGGTGTCCCTCCGAGAAAGAGCCAGGAAAGGTTTAGAATCACAGCACTAAACGCTTGTGGAGCCAGCACAGAGAGCTTGTCTTCCAACAGAGAGAAAATCTCCAATAAAACCCTCTTTATGCTAAGAACAGTCAAAGCAAGTATGCACGGAGTCATATATGCCAGGCAACAGACGGAGGGCTTTACTTGCTTAAACTCTCTGTCCGTTTGAAGTGGGCACCATTATTCCACCTATTTTTCAGACAAGGAAGCTGCGCTGGGGAGGGAGTCATGAATTTTCTCAAGTTCACTCAACCTGGAGAGAGGAGGGCTGGGGCTCCCTCCAGTCAAGGGCTTCTGACAGTCAAGCCTGTCTTGCTGAACTCTAGACAGAAGTTACTGCCTTTAATTACTTGCTCTCGGGGAAAAATACATTTATTTTTATGGTGTGAGGATTTTCCAAGCCAATCACCTTGCAGACTACCCCAAATCTGCAGCAGTCAAAGGCAAATGCATCAAAACACGTACTTGCCCATTCGACACAGCCCCGCTTCTTCTGAACCGGTGTTTGTCAGCTTAAGCACACTACAGATTCCGTACCTACGCACTTTCCCCTGCCTGCCTTGGAACTGGGACGCTTAAAACCCAGCTTGTAACTCACCCACCTTTACAGACAGGCGCATGAATAAAATAGCTTACAGCTCTCTGAGTGTTCACCGTGTGTCCGGCTCGGTCCTGGGCACTGGTGTTAATTCACTTCAAACTCATCACAAGCCTCTGAGGGAGGTGTTATCATCAACCTCGCTGAGCAGACTGGCTGTGTGCTTTCCTTGGGGAAGTGGCAGAGCCTGGATTCCAGCCTGCTCCCAGGCAGTCTGCTCCCGGGACTTGGTCTTCACCAATCTTCAATATCAGCTCTCACTGCCCTGTGCTAATCTGATTTTTATTCTAACCTATGGTTTCTCTTACTCGGTGTGGTAGATCATTACAAAACGGTACAGTGACTCACACGTCCCTGTATTCATGCCATTGTGTAGAACCCTCCCGCTGACTCTGACTTGCTTTGAACAATGGAAAGGACAAAGGGGATACTGTGTGACTTCCAGATCCAGATCAGTGCTTTTCCAGAGGTCATGTAAATACTAATTAATACATACCAAGAGGCATAAGCTCATTCTACATGAAGACCCAGAAGTCCCATCCTTAGGGCCATTGTCACCCTCTGCCCTTCTGAATCCTTCCCCAATGAATCTTAAAATTCACAACTATCAGTTTTTCCAGATACCAAGAAGTCACCTTCCAGAATGCAAGCCAGCAATCTATCTCCAGGATCTCTTCATGACCATTGGTTCAGAGAGGAAGCTCCTCAGACGTGGATACTCACTGTTCTAAAATTTTCAACCTCTGCTTAGGAAAGTTCAGGGAAAGACGACAGGATAAGCAGGTCTGGCCTAATAACTACAAGAATGAGCTGGGAGCATCTGTAAACACATGGAAGACATAAATAGTGGGGAAGAGAGAACAATCAGGGCTGTCCAGCGGGGCACAGGACTACATAACCACACATTCTTACACACTCAGGCATACCCACCCCCTATAATCCTATCCCGAGACGGTGCAGAGAAATCAGGAGAGCTGGTTCACTCCCCACCTGGAAATGGGTGGTTTAAGTTTCAATCACAAACATTCAACTGCCTAAGAGAAGAAACACAACAGAAAGGTAGCCTGTGGAAGAAATGAGAACATGGTCCAGCCACTGCCACCGGAAAGCACACAGCCCTCTTTACCACTGATCACACCGCCCCAGAGCAAAGCAGGACTGAAGTCGGGTGAGAGTGAGCAAGGAGGGGGACAGCAGAGAGAAAGACCAGGATAAACCAGACAACACAAACCCTGTCTGCAGGCCCAGGGCACGGGTTCTTCGGTGTCCAGCCAAGACAGGAGGAGCGTGGAGAACGCCCTGTCTGCTACAGCTGGCCCCTGCCCTGCACCTCTCAATTACCCGTGGTAATTAGGAGCGAAGGAGAGGGTGGCCAACCTCAATCCTCAGCTAATCCCCAATCTTGATTTTAGCCCACAGTTTATCCTTTTGTCCTGGGAACCTTTTCTCCTTTATCATCTTTTTATTTTTTTCCTTCTTTCCTTTAAAAAAGCAAAAACAAAAATGTTCAACAAATATAAACATTAGAAGATTCGAGTTTCAGGTCCTTGGGCTGGTCTTTATTTCTGGTTGCTGCGTTCCAGGAGGGGAAGCTGATGAAGGAAGGTGCAGACAAAAGCTGGGACACTGGGTAACCCAATACCCAAGTGAGCAGGGAATGGTAAGCCAGTCACATCTTGAACTCTTTGGAGAAGGAACAGGGGGATCTTATGGTGATGGAGGCTGGGGGAGACGGGAGAAGAGAGTAGGCAGTCATCAGAGAAGATGAGTAGCAGCCAGAGTTCTCCAGAGAAACAGAACTAATTCAAGATATATACAATTAGAGGTCCTGGGTTCAATCCTCAGTACCACCACTAACAAAGATATATATAAATATAGATAGATATGGATACAGATTTACATATACGGAGAGAAATATTTTAAGGAATTGGCTCTAGGCCAGCAAGCTGGAAATTCAGGTACGAATGACGGTGCAGTCT